GTGCTCCCTGAGCTTGCCCACCGTAACCGCGAGGCTGGGCAGGAGAGCGCGTCCCGGGGACGTGGTCTGGGCCTATGGCATCCCCCCTCTGAGGTCTGTAGTCTGTTATCTGGCCCTCCCCCATTAGTTGTTGTTTAGCCAAGCAGGACAGATTTAGCTCTTTTAATCTTCCCTTGTAAATCAATCTCTACAGCCCCTTGAGCTCAGGCTCCATTTTTCTTCCCAGCGCTCCAGTTTGCCGGGATGCTGGTGTCTGCTCTGAGCAGTCAGCGATGAGCAAATATGTAAAGAGAATGTGCTGAGAGCTCAGTGTGGTTCTGGGAAGAGGTGCTGGGTGGTTTCTCTCTGGCCTAATTATTAATCATGAGCCTGGTGTTCAGCAGAAAAATGCAGGTTTCTGTTACCTGCGCTGTACAGATCAGGCACACCTTTTTTGTTCTGAAAAGCTTGATCTCTAGCGGAGTAGTAGGGGACATTAGGGAGAGGATTATAAAGTGGAGGGAGCGGCAAGCTCTCCAGCAGCCAGAGGGCTGGGGCAGGGTTGCCGGGGGAGGATGCTCCTGCGGACCAGGGCAGACCATCCCTGCAGGCACTTTCCGAGAGGCGCTGCCCCAGCAGGTCTGCGGCCAAGCCACCGCAGTGGTCCCAGAGCCCTGCTGGGCTCACAGCCCCATTTGCTAACAGAGAGAAGGTCTCCTTCCCAAGCAAGCACTGGGAGATGTTTCAACACAGGCAGGAATATGTGAACGTTGTGTAAAATGCATAGAATTGTCTAATGCGTGGGCCCCTCACTCATGAAATAAATATATAAACTGTATCTAACAAGACAAATATAATGAAGGTGTCATAAAAAAGAGGCAGCTCTGGTATAAATTCTTGCTGGTAGAGCTGTATGTCTGAAAGGTGGATTATAGAACTGCAGTTTGGAAGATTGAATGGCCCATAAACATTTTCATATTTCATTAGCCGATTAATGGACGGCTTTTTTCTTTTTTTTCGGGGGGGGAGGGGAGGGAGGGGGAACACACAACTTTGCTGATTCTAAGCAGAAATTGTAGGAAGCAAATGAAAGCAGCTGATGAAACCTTTCCGGGGGCCTGTCCCATTATGGATTGTCCCAATTAATGCCCATGCTGCTCTCTGTCAAGATGCATTCTGCCTGTCCGGTTACTGTTAATAGATTTCTCATAAGTGGCTGGATTGTAAAAACCTCATAACTCAGTTTAATGCCACCAATAAAATTATCTCTGGACGTCTGGCCTGTATTCCAGTCAGCTCCTGGGCTGCGGGGAGCTGCTGTTTACCCTTTCTTTTCCTAATTTCAAACATTGTCTTAATTAGAAAATGAAGTGGAGACTGGCTACAAAAGCGTCTTCCACAGGATCTGTTTTTCATCCTGAACGTGGCCCTGATTTGCCATATTCTCCTGCAGGCTTTGCTCAGGTGGGGGCTCTGGGTGTGATGAAGTGATGGGTTGAGCCCCCCTACCTTGCCACATAAACCCAATACAGGTGTGCAGCGAGTGCACAAGCTCCCAGGCAGGGAGAATTGTCAGCACCAGGTGCCCAGAAGACAGAGGGTGGGGTGGCTGTGGCTGGGCAGAGCAGGCAGATGAGGATGGGCTTTGGGCAGCTGGCTGGGTACGTGGGGACAGATGTTGTTGGTGAGCTGCCTTTACACCCTGGTCTGCTGTGCAGCTTGGGAGAGGTGATCCCACACTGCCAGGGTGCTTGCCCACAGGGAAGCCTCTTTTTTTGGAGTGCTGTTGAGTTGCCCTTCCCTTTTCCATCATCTCCTAACCTCGTAGCGGTGGGATTTGTCCCTTGGTTTGTGGTGTGGGTGGGTACTGGCAGGATTTGTGATCTGCCAAGTGTATGGTGGCCTAGGCAGGGCTGAAGTTCCAGTTTATTGGGCCTTCCTCCACGCACAGGCATTGTTTGGTGGTGTTCTGTACCGCTCTGCGGTGCAGCAGTAGCAGAGGGAGCAAATGGGCATCACGCAGGGACCATGGGCACCTTGTGCTGGGGCTCCAAGCCCACGCACTCTCGGCCATGGGGGCACAAGCATGGCTCCAGCCTGCTCCCACCCTTTCGCTCTTTTCCTGGCAGATCCACTCGGACTCAGATGAGGGGGACGGCTCCATCAAGTACACTATCTCCGGGGAGGGCGCAGGGACTATCTTCCTCATCGATGAGATCACAGGTGACATCCATGCCACCGAGCGCCTGGACCGTGAGCAGAAAACCTTCTACACGCTGCGGGCTCAGGCCCGTGACCGGCAGACAGACCAGCTGCTGGAGCCTGAGTCAGAGTTCATCATCAAGGTGCAGGACATCAACGACAGCGAGCCACGCTTCCTGGAGGGGCCCTACATCGGCAGCGTGGCTGAGCTGTCCCCCATCGGTATGTCTCCTGGGTTGGGAGGAGGTGGGTTGGGAAACCTGCGCCTCTCCTGTCAAACCTTGAGCATGCTGTACCCCGCAAAACTGTCTGCAAATCCAAGGGATTCCAGCTAAGACCAGAGCTAGGGAGCCAAAAGGGAAAAATAAATAAGGTGGCTTAAGGAAAACAAGTGAATAAATCCTCTGAGCTGATTGTCAGCCTGTGGCTGAGCGCTCAGTCTCAGCCCTAAGCTGTGCCCTGGAGACAGGTCGTGACAGTGCCAGCTGCCCGCTGTGCATTTACCCTGGTTTTGCACAGCTCCCTCGCTCCCAAATGCTGGGGGCAGCAGGGGGGACGGACTGAACCCTTGTGTGCTGAGGGGCTCGTGGCTGCTTGTGGTTCAGATTAGCCTGAGTGGTGTTTCTCCCTCTCTGGCTGCCTGTGCTCCAGCCCCTCAGGCCCATCCTCTGTCTACTGCTTTGCTCTTCAGAGCCCCATGGCTGCCTAGCCATCCCCTTGTGCAACCCCATGGAGCACTGCTGAGCCCCTCTCACATGGCTTCTGGCCTTTCTCTAAGGGGCCAGGCGTTGTTGGCTGAGATTGGGGAATTCATGTGCTCTGACACAGAAGTGTCGCTTCCCGTGTTACTCCTAGCCTGCCTATCCCCTTGCCACCAGGCATCTTTTAAGCCCATTGGTGGTCAGCCTCGCTGAAGTGCTGAGGGCCAGGCTGGGACATGTGCCATGAGACTGCATAAGTCCATCCCCCCAGGGATGGTGGAGGAGGGCAGGGAGCTTTGTGCTCACCTGAACATCAGGAAGGGGTACAGGGAGGTGATGCGTGACCTGCAGTATTACTGCCCTTGCTCTTTGTGCTGGCCCGATGTGGGTTCCCATGCTGCTGAGCACAGCTCGAGTCCAGGGAGAGTGGCTGGCTTGCTGCACTGCCCAGAATGTCACATCGTTCCCCATCCACATTGGGCTATCTGTTATCCCCCGTTGACTAGCCAGAGTGCATAGCAGACTGCGTGTGTTGGCATGCGCTGCAGGCAGGGAACTATAAATCACTGTTCTCCAAAGGCTGCATCAAGGTAGAAGGCAGCCTGCAAAAGACTGACTGACATCAAAGATAAGGCAGGTCCCCAACACTGTCAGCAAGGGATGAGTCAGCAAGATGGAGACTGACAGTGCCAGGAAGGCAGTGAGCTCTGGGAGGCAGAGCACCTGGGGGGGCCAGGGCTGGGGGAGCAGGGCTGAGCCACAGGAGAGGCTCGGCAAGTCAGGCGAACCACTGGTCCTGCTGTGCTTGAACAGGAAGGTCTGGCTGAAGAGGCATCCTGAAAACAGAGAGCACGGGATGCTGCTCAGGTCTGTGCTGCCTCAGGACAGAGCTCTGGCTCTCTATGGTTAATGTGCAGCATATTATGAGACTGGTGCATGGCCTTCAGCAGGTATAGGTGTGCAGGAATTGCCCACACTAGAGGAGCTGCTGCTGCTTGGATTTCTGTTGATGGATGGAGAACAAGCTCTTCTGAGGCATCCCAAGCTCTCCTTCTTCTTCCATTTACCTGCGCAAATCCTTTCCCAAGTCAGGGAGTGACCCCTTGAACCATGTGTTCCTGGAGGAATGAAAGACAACATGTTGGCAGAAAAGCAGGAGGCATCCTGTTCCCAAAGGGAAGAAAGAAATTGAATTAATCTATTTTGCTTGAACAACATTTAAAAAGGAGGGAATTTTCAACTCTGAGTATTAGACAAGGATCCCAGTTCTTTGAAAATCACTAACAATTATGGAGCTGCCTGATCAGACTGTTGTGAACAAGACATATCAAAGGAGACAGTTTCTATGCGAAATTGGAGATCAGAGGGAGGGAGAAACATGGTTTCACAACATGAAAGGAGGCGATTCCTGCAAATTAAAATACTCAGAATTTAAAAGTAAAGAGAAGCGCTGTGAATGGCGTGGGCTGTGCTTCCAAGCTGTGTGCTCAGGCAGGGGAGCTGGAGCCAAGAGCCTGTTCTGTTTACCAGGCTTATGTCTGCCTGCGACAACCTTGGAGCTTTCTGTAGCCTGGCCATCCCAGGGAGCATAAGGGCTCCTCTGTAGCCGCCTAGCCCTGCAGATGGCCCAACTAACAGGGCAGGGACAGCTTCACACAGCATCTTCAAGTGGTGCTGCTGCATGGTCCACTGCAGTATGAATGCAGAGCCAGAGGGTACCTACATGCTGCTGCTGGAAGTCCCCAGCTCCCTCCTGGTTCTCCCTTGGCTTACCCGTGCTTTGCCCAGGAACAGGTAGCACAAAGGACAGGATGGACACATCCTGTGAAAGCATAAACAAGCAAGCCTGAGGAGTAGCTTTCTCCTCAACCCTCTGGGGTAGCCCCTCCACTGGGGCCCTGGTGTGGACACAGAGAGAGGGGCTGGTCGTGGACCTGGTGTGTGAAGTTCAGCTTCAGCAGCTGTAGGAAGGGCTGAGGATGCAGGACATGGGATGCTGCCTGGGCCAGGGAGGTAAATTTCAAGACTTTCTTATGGGAAATACCCTGCCAGGCCCTGTTTGTGTGGGAGCGCTCCTTTTGTGGCATCAAGGCCAGGTGCAGCTTTTCATGGCTCTTTTGTGGTTGGTATTGGTAGTGATGTTTCCTGTCTCTGAGCTGGACAGATAATCTCCCCTAGACCTGATGGGTATTTTCATAAGCGTGAATGAGGAGCATGCCTTGCTGCCTTCCTGAATGTGAACAGAGGTGATCCTCTGTACTGGCCAAGCAGGAGTGGGAAGGCTGGGCAGCCTGGGGAGAGCTTGGATTGGCTATTAATACATCAAGATCAAGGTCAAAGCCTGGGGACCTGCTGATGAACATGCCCAGTCTGGGCTTCATTTGAGCATGGATGTTTTCCTGGATCAACAGTGTTCCTGGTTCAGCTGTGCTCTCTGCTGGGAAGAGGCTGGGATGGGGCCACCACCGGGAGCAGGGCTACTCTCCAGCTTGGAGCTTGTTTGTAGGAAGCTGTTCGTTCCCTGTCTCTGCTGCTCTGACAGCCTTTGCTCTGTGGCCCAGCCTGAAAAATGAAGGGTGACCTCCTTCTTCATCCTCTCATGCTCCTGCCTTCCCAAACCTCGCTGGGGTTTGAGCTTGTGGGTGCCCAAGTGGGTGCTGTTTCTTCTCACTCATAGCAGCTACCAGCTGCAGCTCTCCGTTCCCTGCCAAAAGCAATAGTTCCAGCTCCCAGAGGTGAGTACCTTCCTGGGGCATGAAGAGGAATAAAACAAATACGGTCAGATCCGCTCTGTTGACAGCAGGAGCAGATCAAAGGACATTATTTGCATAATGAAGGAGTACTAATTGGGAGGGAAAGTCATTTGATTTCCTAGCGTCTAAGAGGGAATAACAAATGAGAGAACTGCAGAGACTCTCACAGAGTAGCTTTGCAACACACCTGCCCCTTGCTCTGCGCTGGGGCCAGGGCAGCACAGTTTGGTAGTGACAGCATACGTGCTGCTTGAGACTGTAAGACTAAGTCAGGGTGGACTAAAGGCCTCTTTGTTCCAGGTTCTTGTCTTGACAGTGGCCAAAGTGGATGCTTATGGAGGAGCAGGAGCAGCACACACAGCACGTGTGATGCTCCTTTTAATACTCTCTCAGCCAGCAACCAGTTTCAGCTTGGACATTTCTTGTACTTTCCATGGGTTTAGTCGACTTCAGTGCCTTGGCTTCCATGAACTTATGCAGAGCTTTGCAGTGAGTCTGTAAAGGGAAAGGAGAAGGGGTTGCTATTGCTATCTGATGGATCAAAAATGGCAGATGCGAGATGATCAGGAAGGTAAGGCCAGAGTCTGGGATTTGTAAGGGCAGAGGTCATGCTTGGAGCTAACCCCAGCCCATGGAGCCAGGCTGAGCATGTGCTGTGCCCCTGAAGATGTCAGTGTTTTCTACACACAGAGCCCAGACCCGAGGCTGGCACTGGGCTCCTGCACTTGGAGGAAGCACATCCAGAATGGAAACTGACCCCACAGTTTTACCTGGGCTCCCTTGGCATGGCAGGACCAGCTGCAAGAGCCGGGCTTCAGGTGACTTATCTCTAGAAACCTCATCTGGTCTGGGGCTGCTGGGGCACCAGGAGAAACAGCGCAGCTGCTGAGGGCTGTTTTGCAGCCAGCAGGGCACAGAGCCATCGAATGCCACTGCAGGGGTGCAGAGGAGGGAGGTTTGACTTGGTGCTGCGTGGGGTTGGCAGGGAAGGCAGCTGGAGCTGCAGCGGGGCAGAGGGCTCTCCTTGCTCAGCCCCATGCAGGGAGCAGGGCTGGCAGCAGCCACAGAGGCAATACACGGGGTCCACCTGGGCTGAGGAAGACAGGGGCTGGTGGTGCTGCCTGGGAGTGTTTTCGCGAACTCCCCCTGTGCCTGCTGCCAGATCGGGACAGCCGGCTGCCGTGCATGGCTGCCGTGTATGCACGTGGGCTAGCCAAGGAGCACTCTGTCTGCACGATGGAGCCTGAGCTGTAAACCCTGTCGCAGCCCCACTGCTGTCCTGTCATCTCAAGAAGAAACTGTGGGCTAAGAGCTTGCAGGCTGCTCTGTGCCGGCACCTGAGGCTTGGCCTCTGCGTGGGTGCCGCAGTGCAGATCACCCCAAAATGCCTGAGTTGAGCAGACTCTAGTACCAAGGAGACCTGCAGATGCAGAAGAAGGTAGGATGGGACCCAGCCAACTGCCTGGGAACTGCAGGAACTTCACCTTGTAACAGGAGATGCTAAAATTAGCTGTATTTTGGGCTCCCTTCCTGAGCTCCCTGGAGTCTGCCCAACAGCTGTCTGCTGCACGCAGAGCCCAAATCCAGTGCATGCTGTGCCTCCTGCAAGACAGCTCTTGGTTGCGCAGTGTGGGTGTTGCAGCCCAGAGCTCACTTCTGCGTTTTTTGGGAAGTATGCAGAGCTTGGAGTGAGGGACATGCTAGGAAATGTGCATCCTTTCATCAGAACATTACTCCTCCCTTGGTGCATTTTGCTCTGCTTATTTCT